TATATATATATATTGTATAAACATAAAAATGTCTTAAAATAATTGTCGGACTTTGTCCATTTCATAATGTGTGACGACATTTGTTTTACACGTGGATACGCATCAAGCAGATATGAATGTACATGAGAGAATCATGGGAGATTGTAGTTTAAAGGCGGTAAAATCGACCTTGCTAACCGAGACGCTCCTCTGTGGCGAAATCAGTAAAAGCACGTCAGGCTATATGACGTTTCCGTATAGATTACAGGTTCGATTCCTGTCGGAGGACGCATATTTTCTATGTCAATTTCTTGGGCATTCAGGCCGGTAAATGTTGTTAATACAGTTTATTATAAAAATGAGCATTGACTTAAATATTTGTATCTATAAAAAAGAACGTATAAGCATAAAAATGCCTAAGGAATAAGGAAAATTGAATCCAACGGGGAAGTTATGAACGGTCCATATATAAAATAATTACTTTTAAATTTAGTAACATGCTATTTTTATCCTTTGAATAGACTTACTCATTCGATAAAGTAACATTCATTTTTAACCCTGGAAACCATGTTATTTCTTATTTTAAATATATTTTTGACGAAAAATTAAATTCCAGTCGGTAGTGCATAGAAGATTTTGGGACATAAATCGTGTTGTATTAATGTTTCAATTAACTGAAAAAACTACCCTAAGGAAAGGCAATTTTACATATCATCTCTTTAGTGGAACATTGCCGCCTGTGGTAATAACTACTGAGTCTGAGGAACGAAGCACACGTCCTTTATTTCTATTGAGGTCAACTTCTCTCTTCTGATAAGAATAAGTGCAGTTTACAGCGTTTTCTTTAAAATGATTTCCATATGATATTATTTAAAAGATAACCTCAATATGCCTAATAATGTTAAGGTTTGGTTACAGTCCCGTTCTCCTGATTCTTTAATGGCATTAGCGAGTACCATTCTTGTGCACGCATGCTGTGTAGAAACATTTACATTATTTTTCTTAAATAGCAACGTTTTTTATGGTTAAATTATGATTCTAGAAAAAAACATTGGGCTCTAAAAATAATTAGCCAGAAACGAATTTGATATGCGCAGCTTCCAAGATTGACGAAGTCTTGCCATGTAATCATTTATATATTTCGTAATACATGATATGTTTAGGTATATTGGTGTCGGCCATTATTGAATCAAATCGTTTTATGCGCATGCTCACAAATCTTTACGTACGTACGTGAAATGATATAGTATTAAAAAGTTTTATAGGATTATCATACTAAAACAGATTTATTTGTATATCTAAATAAAACTGAAAAATACTTCCTCTCCTTCAAGACACACACACACACACACACAAAGAGAGGCACACGCATATATATATATATATATATATATATATATATATATATATATATATATATATATATATATATATATATATAATTGTGTATTTGTGTAGCAATCCTGTTTTTATACAACTTTCATTAAAGACGACATGTAAGGTACTGTGAATAAGCGTTTTATTCAATTTTTTTTCCATTCGTACAAGCGTTTTTCAATCTGGACATTAAGTGTGTAGAAACAGTCCAAACATTCTATCCAACCCCTTTGTGACAGGAAAATCTATCTATCTATCTATCTATCTATCTATCTATGTGCTGTTCCTATCTATCTATCTATCTATCTATCTATCTAATAGTACTAATCTTATAAATATAAGAAATTATACTCCTTCGGAAGGTTTGCTCTACTTAACGTATTGACCACTTTACTTAGTTATTTTACTTACACGTATCGGATTTTTTTCTTTGGACTCTGAACTTGGATTCTAGACTTTTGTCTTCGGCTGACGTACATGTTTTCTGTTCTTTCTTTTTTTTGTACTTTTTTTTCCCTTGGTTATTGGTCTGTTTATTTATATATCAAAGTACCCATGGTTTTCCGGGTTTATCTGGCTCTTTAGATCTATCTATCTATCTATCTATCTATCTATCTATCTATCTATCTATACTTAGTCTGTTCTGTTACTATCTGTCTTCGTCTGTTCTGTTCATCACCTATCTGTCTTCGGTTGTTCTGTTGATCTATCTATCTATCTATCTATCTATCTATCTATCTATCTATTCATATCTATCTATCTCTCTATCTATCTATCTATCTATCTATCTATCTATCTATCCCATTCTGTTCATAAATAAATTTGTATTTATGTATGTATCTACGTACGTATGTATGTACGCGGCCGAGTGGTTAGAACTACTTTTTCTTTCTGACCATGAGACCCGGGTTCGAATCTCACCATGGTCAATTTGTCAGGACTGGTGTTATCGTTCTGAAGGGGGTGATCCCACCGTGTGGCACGTTTGGAAAAGTTCCTGAAAACCATACCACGGGTTAACCCAAGCCATGTGAGTGAAATCGTGTAGCTATGCTAGCACAAAGTCACAAGTCATCGTGGCCGAGGGCTTGAGCACGCTGGCCATGTTCAGATTGTTGATAACATTAGATAACACACTCTCTCCCAGAAACTTTAACTGAGGTCTGCTCAGCATAGTTGCAGTATAAACCATAGTTTGAATCTCTGGGTGTTGAACAAACGCAAATGTGACTGAGCGGGTTTCTGTAATAGGGATTGACTAGGCACCCTAGTAGACGGGTATACTCGAATATAAGTGGCCAATTATTATTATGTATGGATGGACGGATGGATTGATTAATCTATCTGCAATTGCTTTTTTGGTTTAATATCAAGTAATTAATTATGGTAATTAGGCTTACCATAATTTCATTCTTCAAGCTTGGATATTTTTCAAGTTTTATTATCGTGCATATTTCTAGTATAATTAAACCCTTTAAGCTTCAGAGCTGAGGCGAACGACTACAGATAGTTATAAATTATAGCACCAGGACAGACATCTCAAACAGGGACAGTCCTGGCTAAGTTGGAACCCCTGTTAAAACAACGTGTAGAAGTGTGCCGCTTAAGATCCTCGCTAATATACGTACTGAATTCGGTTCACCTGATGTCTGAATATCCAATAATTTAGGTGGGTACCTTGTATTTACGGCCGTTGCTTCGTTTTCTGTCGCTGTTAAGAAAATAATTTCCTCATACTATACGTGAAACTGATGTAAACTTATTTAAGTCTGCGGATTCGTACGCAATGTCCCTTAACTTAAAGAGCGGACCAACCCCAACTCAGATATGCGGGCGTCATGCTTGATCCTATTATGAAGGGTGCGATGGGTAAATTGTCGCCATTTCATTGTTTTCCTATTAAGTTTATACCATGCTTAGGAAACATGGCAATTTGAGGCATTCGTTTGTCTAGTCACACTGAGGAGCTGTGATACAGCGAAACAGTACTGTCTGCGAATGACATATATATATATATATATATATATATATATATATATATGTATATATACTAGTAGCATGACCCGGCGTTACGCGTGCTTGATTCAAAAATCGTACGACTCATACAGCAATCGCTATCGCTTGACTTAAAATATTTTTGCCCTTCCTTGGCTTTAAAGGAGTGCCTTTTCCGTGCTGATCTTGCTACATGCCTTACTTCTTGCCTATCTCACACTGCGAATTTTGACTAAGCTTTATACTAAACATTAAATCTGTTACGAAAATAGAACTAAACAAAATAAACACAAAACGATCAGCTTTAAAAAAAGGGACTCGTAGCTGGAAAAACCGAATGAAAAAAGAATGTTAACAACAAATACATTTTCCCACCCAACCCATTTCTGCGGAATCAGAATCAACGTTGAGTTTAAGCAAGCGAATGAGCCAATTGGAGTAAAGTGCCATGCAGATTTAAATTTTTCCCACTTGTGACGAATGCAGCTATCGATATTTTTTTGCATGCTAGCATGCTAGTTAACATTCGTGTTAGTCAGCTGTTGGCTCTCACGCTGGCCAATCGAATCTTCCTGCCTATTAGTGGTAGCCAGCTATAGGCTCTCACACTGGCCAGTAGAAAATGGCCACAAACTACATGAAAACTGCCGTAGAAGCATGAAAAAATCGATTATTTCCACTATCGATGGAAGTTGGTAAATGCAAATTCGGTCTTGGCCTTTCCACTAACTTGGAGCAGGTGCATGTAAATTTTGGTGCAAATTGTCGAAAATTGCGGCCATGCATTCGTTACACACACACACACACACACAATGCCTGTTATATATATATATATATATATATATATATATATATATATATATATATATATATAGAGAGAGAGAGAGAGAGAGAGAGAGAGAGAGAGAGAGAGAGAGAGAGAGAGAGAGAGATTTTAAACGCGCACGTGATTAAACACACCCTCCGGAAAGATGCACGCATTAAAACACAAACGGGACATCTAAGAACATAGACAAAAACAGACATATTTCTATCTAGCTAGCTAGCTAGCTAACCAGATAGATAGATAGATAGATCGATGAGAACAATGTATTTTTGGCAATGATATCTACACTATATAAGGCCCAAGAACTACTCGCTGTAGAGTGTTACAGAGTAATGGACATAGAAATCAGCACTGCATAGTAACTGCCAGTTTCACGCCCGAAGCAATCATCAAACAATACTATGTTATTTTGTATGTCCCACTCACTGATCAAAAACAAAAATTCTAATCTATTAGGTCTTCAATTTTTAGGATCCTGACTAGTACTATTCAGCACAACAGAAAACTTTTTGCTGGCATTAACTGTCCCTGTGCCAGACAAGCTTTCTAAGCAGCGGAAATCAGCTCAATTCCCAGAATGCATGCCTTGTGCCAGGCGTGTTGTTCTTGTTTTCTCTCACAAAGTAAATATTTATTTAGGCTAATTTTATGCGTTTTATTTTTTGTTTTCTCCTGACAAGAATTAGTCGGGGAAGATTTTGTCCTTTTGACAACGCCAACTGGAGAGTGTCCGCCTCGGTTCTTTATTTTCATTCTGCCGGCCTGTAGCCTGTCAAAGGCAAAAATAAACAACTTCCCGACTATTTAAACAGAAATACGACCTTGCCGCATTTAACCGTACACGCGTCAGAAGGTCAATGTTGGATGGTGATGGTGGCTTTTTTGACACGCGGAATTAAACGTCCCCAGAAATCAACCAACACTTTTATTGCTACGGGTGAAACTTGAAAAATTTTAACTCGATTTGGAATCTTTTGTCATTTTATTAGTTCACCGAAGTTAAGCAATGCCGATCCATGTCAGTACCTAGATGGGTGACCGCTTGGGAATACAAGGTGCTGTAACCACAGATGTGCAGGTGGTGTAATAAATAATGGTCCGAAAAGTTAATCAAAGAGCCGAGTTCCAATTCCAGTTGAGTTCGTTATATTGACTTTTTTTTAAGCGTTTCACCCCAAGCAAGGCGGGAAACCACTAAGGGGATAGAGAAGATTTGGAGCAAGATCAGATAGGAGTGACAGAGGAAAGGATGAGGAGAAGGATAGTGGATAGATCAAGGTGACTGGAGATGTCGATTGACATTACACTTGAAAAGTTGGCGATTATAGCTCTCAGGGAAACTGGAATAGGGAAGGGAGTTCCACAGGCGAGAGGTGCGAGATATGAAGCTATTGGAGGAGAAGAGACGTCTACATTTAATAGTTTCGACAGTGAAAGTGTGAGGGTGGGATGTCAGCCTCGTAGGGCGCTTGAATTCATGAAGTCTGGGAACCAGCGAATGCAGCTGCTTTGAGCAATTACCATGAAAGTATTTGTAAAAAAAGACAGAGAGAGGCGACGGCACGTCTGTGGGAGAGCGACTGTAGACGAGATGCCAGAACAGGGCCAATTATATTGCATATCCGCCTCTGGATCTTATCAAGAACCCCGAGGCAAACAGAAGGGGCTTTCGCTTCTAGGCAAAGACATTCAGTTTTCTTTTTTTTTTTTTTTAATTTTTCTTTCGAACAGGGATTTCCAACTAAACCAGCAAATAGTATTATAAGTTAGGTTAGAATGATTAGGAAAAAAATAAATGTGTTACGATAGTCAGACAGACGAGCAGGGGGGAGAAAAAAAATAAAATAAAAATGAGTTTCAGTAGAGTGAAATTATACTCACACATGGCAGCAAGTGTTTGTCCGCTTTCATTCTCATGATAGCCAGTGAATGTACGGCTTACGGCCAAATGCTCTTGGGAAAGCTATGAATCAACAATTAATTAGTAAGACTTGTATCACAAAATCATTATTATTTCCCAAACAAAATTCTTACAATTTAAAAATATTTTCTGGCTTTAAATAACTTGTAATATGTTGATAAGTAGAAAACAAATCAATTTATTTTTGAAGTGGAAAAAGTCGCAAGGTGTGAGATCTAGAGAATATGGTGCTTGTAGGGCCTGGGGACTATTGTGCTTGGACAAAAACGGCTGCACAACCAATGGTCACTGATGGTACCTCAGTAGTGATATGACCACATTCTACACACTTTCCTTCCAAACACCGCTACAAACAACGTAAGTGAGCAAGAACGTTATAATTTATAACTTGGGAAAGGGATGAATTATTCTTACCCTCAGCTATGGGTTAATTAGTAATAATTTTATCGTTAAATCATTATTATGCCTCCCCCACCCTCGAATTCTAATGATCGAAAAATATTTTATGGCGTTAAATAAACTGCAAAGGGTTGATAAGCTGTATAAAACAAATCTATCAATCTATCGTAATTTTATATTAGAACAAGGACACAAGTATCGAGCACCCGGTGAGGAACAAATTCACTAATCATTAATAATAATGTTCAGTTAGTTGTGAACGATAAGCATTGCCCCTTATCGAGGTGCACATCGATTTATAGTTGTTGCCAGGCAATTTATGGTTTTATGCATTTGGTTTGGAACGAAGATTTAAAAAAAAAATTGTAAGTTTCTTTTCTTTTTTTCTTATAAATTGGTCTTTATTCAGTGTCATGTTTATTTATCTCTTCGTCATGTATATTTATCTTTCAATTATTTTTCGTCTTTCTTATATCGACGAAGCCGAGCTATATACAAACCAAGTTTATCTATTTTGTACAAAAATTATAATCATTCCAAGCGGACAAGGAATTTTTGCATAAAAAATCAGCATACGAAATCCTATTTTTTTAACTTACTATGGCAGTTGGGAAATATATGAATGTTCCTTATCCCCAGCTATGTGTTAATTAGTAATATTTTTATCGTTAAATCATTATTATGCCTCCCCCACCCTCTAATTCTAATGATCGAAAATATTTTATGGTGTTAAATAAACTGCAAAGGGTCGATAAGCTGTATAAAACGAATCAGTCTATTATGATTTTAGTTTGGAACAAAGACACAAGTATCGAGCACCCGGTGAGGAAGGAATTCACTAGTCATTGATAATGTTCGGTTAGTTGTGAACAATAACCATTGCCCTTTATCGAGGGTCACATCGATTTATATTTGTTGCCAGGCATTTTATGGTTTTATGCATTTCATTGGGAAAAAGGATTAAAAAAAACAACTTTTTTGTCAGTATACTTTCTTTTCTTTTTATAAATTGGTTTTCATTCTGCGTTAAAATTATTTTATCTCACGTTATTTTCCTTCTTTCTGATATCGACGAAACCGACCTGTATATGAAAGAAGTTCATCTCTATTGTGAAAATTTATAATGATGTAAATCCCCTAAGCGGAAAATGAATGCTTGCCTAAAAGAAAATCAGCATACGATATCCTATTTTTTTTTATATATATCTTTTATCATTTTTACCTGGGTTCAAACACCGAACTCTGAAACCGATAGGAAACACGTCATTTCAAAATATTTAACTCTGAATTTAAACAGTAGAGATGGCTATGGAAAAGCACAAAACGATTAGGCAATTCACGCATATTAAAGAAAAATAAGCTGTGGAGAAACATGAATACCTCCGTAATGAAAGGATATAGTACTTTAAAGAATGTTAACTCTCTCGATACGGCACACAGCTCAAAGACGCAATATATGGTAGATCATAGAAAGTTATCTAAGCTTATTTTTAGCCTTATCTTCATAGGAGCAATGGAGAGGTACTGCCATGGGAACGGATCTCTGGTAACTAGAGATTATCAAGGTTTAAAGATGATTCATCTTACTACCCTGTTAAAATGTGAGACGTAGTGAGAATCGAAATCACACAGTTCTATTCGAGAATAGATTGTTAACCACTGTTACACAATGAAGTTGAAAGCTTAGCCCACTGAAAGGCAAAACCTAGTTCGGAATGAATTCTTTATTAGAGTCGTCTCCGAGTGAAGCTATCTACAGAATGTTCCACGGTAAGGCAGCCTGATGTTCATCGTAACCATCGTGGTGGAAAATGAATAACATCATGAGCAAACACCAAAAAGTAAACAGAACTCACTGTAGTAGGAATGATCAACATTGCTTCAAGTCGAAGCTTGCAAATATCCAATCATATCAATCATTATTTGGCCAGTTCGATATAGTGCAATAGTTCACAAGCTTCTCTGGCGAGATCATTTACTACTGATTAGTGAGTTCGAACCTCACAGAGTTCCCCTTACTTTCGTCCTTGTGCCACATCTAAGCTACGCTTAGAAATCCACTTGTGCACATCGACGTGGAGTAATGTTTAGATTAATTACAACTGAATAGTGAATTCGATCCTCATTGGGTACCCCATACTTACAGCCATGTGCCACATCAAAGCTACTCTTAGGATATCGTTGGACACCTCAACGAGGTGTAACAATTAGCGAACTTGTGTCGCGAGATGAATTACGACTTATTAGGGAGTTCGATTCTTACTGAGTGCTCCCAAGGCCTTGTGCCACATCAAAGTCAATCACCGTTCCATTATTAAATGCTTTACACCATTCACATAATTTTTTTCTCGATAATCTTTCGACCACACTATCCTCTTCTGTCTATATCTCCAGGGTGCGATGGGAAATTTTTTCCATTCATCTACCCACAAGGCCGCAGTCTCAGCACGGAGGCCTACATCAAGTGCCTTGAGGAGGTAATGTTGCTCTGGGTCAAGACGGTGGCTGCTGGGTGACCCTATGTCTGGCAACATGACACTGCAACATGCCACATAAGCAGCAGAAACCAGCCATGGCTGTCAGACAATTTCTGTGACCACATCACTCTTTACATCTGGCCACATGACTCTCCAGACTGCAACCCCCTTGATTGTGGACGCAGTTGCGTGAGAAACCAACAAAACATTTTTTTTCACACCAAAGATGAACTGAAGGCAAGGATTATGGAAGCATTGAGCAAATTAAACAATGAGATGTCCAGATGAGATGCAGAAGATTCCCAATTCGTCTTGAGGCCCTCGTTGACGCCAACGGCGATTTTGTTGAATAAATTTACTCTTTAGTATTTCAAGATATTGTTTGTATCATTTTGGAAAAGATATTTGTTAAAATAAGATGTAAGTGTTATTTTCATTTTTGCCTCATTTAGACGACACTTTATCTGTCACACTCTGTATACATAGAGGAGGGCTGAAAAGCTTTATCAATATAATTCTTTTTGTTCAGTCATTAGGAAGTTGGTTAGGCTGATAATTGTTCAGGACTCCACAGAATAGAAAGACCAATATAGAGAGAGATCGATCGAAATAAAGAGATATTATTTTATGTTGGTGATCATATTCCTCCACAACTTCCTCTCACCGTGCAATCCATTCACTTATACTCAGAAATTAGATTTCTCACTGTTTCGCTTTGCTTCTCTGCCTTTCAAAATATTCTGTGACTAAATAAAACAAAACTCCAACAAAACTTCTTGTAACACCAATGATGAACTGAAGGCAAGGATTATGGCAGCGTTTACCAACTTAAACAAGGAGACCGTCCAGAAGAGTTGCAGAAGATTCCGAAATCGTATTGAGGCCGTCGTTGACTCCAAAGTTGATTTTATTGAATTACTTTACTCTTTAGTATTACAAGATATTTTTTGCGGGATTTTGGTAAATATATCTTTTAAAATGAGATGTCAGAATTACTTTTATTTTTGCGTCAATTAGCCGACAATTTATCCATCGCATCCTGTATAAATATTACAACAGATATTACATGGCGCTACCAAACATTGTGATCAACACCCTCACACCACGCTGCGTCGTCACAGATATATGAATGTCAGCGTTCACGCCTGCTGGTAAATACAGTCCAGTGTAAATGTGTATATACATAATCGGTTTTCATTGCTAACAGGTCAGTCTGGGTCACTGACAAAGCTTCCAAAATTATTGATTAGTCATCAAGCTATTAGCTACCTTGACTCATAACGGCGTCCATCGACGGCTCTGTGGCTAGCGGAATTGATGATCTAACAAAACTCGTGCCCCAGCCCACTTTGGACTGCCCTCTTGACTAGCGCCGTTTGGCCGACCATTACTATGCGGTTAGGTGCTAGCTGATTGGGATATACATGCGTTCCATTGCCCCCTTGCCTTGTTCACGTCTCGAATGACATCGCATCATGGAACAACCACTTGAAATTTCGGCATTGTGCCCGAATTTAACGATGGTACAATCTACATTATCATTGACGACTGGCTTCTGCTACGACCGTTGCTAGAAGAGAAGATACTTTATTTTGTAACCCAAGAAGTCCGCAGTTAAAATGGTGAAGACTTCTCTATTTTTACTTAATATATGAACAAGTTATGCGTTACAAAAATTATATATATATATATATATATATATATATATATATATATATATATAGATAATATTAGTGGAAAATATACATACATATGCAAAATATATATAAAATATTCCCATACCATGGAATATTAGTGTTTAAGCTTTTTTTATATATATATATATATATATATATATATATACATATGTGTGTGTGTGTTTGTGTGTGTGTCTAAGTATGTGTGTGTGTTTGTGTGTGCGTACGTGTGTGTGTGTGTTTTGAACAATAAAACAATTAAAAACTTAAATTTTCAGCCTTATATATATATATATATATATATATATAATATATATATATATATATATATATATATATATATATATATATATATATATATATATATATATATATATATATATATATATATATATATATATATATATATGCTTAGTATGAGTAAAAGGTTTGTCACTGGTTGATGTTACCTATAGAATTTCGACTCCAGAGTTTTCGTTGGCGTACACACACACACACACATATATATATATATATATATATATATATATATATATATATATATATATATATATATATATATAAGAACGAATGCACACATAAGCACAAGTAAATCTACTAATAATACTAATCAACAACAAATAATCAATAATCATTTTTCACACCAAAAATATGATGGAAAATAAGGGAAAGGACATCAGCCTACAGCAATCAATAAAGAAACTGTAAATTCCGCGTGGATAGAAAATATCTATAATCACCTTCCCAGACCATGACAAATGATTAAATAAACAATCAGAACTTATCTCAAAATGAAGACGGAAAAATGTTTTCACTACGTTACATCAAAATTGAGAACTAAAAGCGAATCCCGATCGACTGCCGGCGTCCTAACTACAATCAATCATAGAAACATTGATTCTCTTGACGACAAACGCACCTCGAGTATCATCGTATTATATATCTGAATGACCTTCGACAAGATGTGATAGAAAGGTTTACTAAACAAGCTCTCCAGTTATGGAATCACTGGAAGGATCTTCTCGATCATAAAAATCATTCCTAAGATGGAGGTCCCTGAATGTAGTAATTAATCGCCTGTCCTTCGGAGACCTAGCGGTCAAAGGTTAGTTAATATATATATATATATATATATATATATATATATATATATAGCTTTAAGTTATGCTATATGTTTGGGTAAATGTACCCGATATCAGGGACAGAGCGTGTATACCCATTAAAGTGGAAACTTATGTCTGTCTGTGTCAGGCCATTTCCAAACCAAATAACTGATACGAAATATACAAAAATAAAAAAAATAAATAAAAATAAAAAATAAAATATTTAACAAAGAACTTTGGTTGGTGAATAACAAAACACAAACACGCAAACACATACACACACACACATATATATATATATATATATATAATACAAAAAATAAACGAGGATATAAAATAAAAATATAGCTCAATGTAAGAACAGTGCAAATTATATATATATATATATATATATATATATATATATATATATAGTGGGGGAAACAAATATTCGTACACATACAAATTTTTTTAATTATTGTATTTCCAACTAATGAATAAACATACTTTTCATATAATTAACTGTAAACAGATGCATAATAACTAAATATGCATAGGAAACAGAAAGAAATTGATTTAGTAGAAATAAATCTCATTGTTTATTCATTGGAAATAGAATAAATTAAAAATTTGTATGTGTATGAAATTTGTTTTGTATATATATATATATATATATATATATATATGTATATAAATAAAAAAAAGAAACCCAGTAATGCTTTTAATTTATTTGCAAAAAATAAAATTAGGGTTTTAGCTTCTATTTTTGAAACATGGTTGGAACTGTAGCGAAAATAACCATATTTTAAATCAATTATATATATATATATATATATATATATATATATATATATATATATATGTATGTATGTATATATATATAGATTTAAGATATGGTATATCTATGTGTAAAAGTGCAAAATATCAGGTCTAGAGCGAATGCAATATATATAGGAGTAACTAAAAAATCCTGGAATCAGAAACTATACACAAAATATCGTTTACAAATACTAAATACGTGAGCAATATAAACATTTGTAAAAATAAATGGGAAATTTAAAATATAAACCAAATTACATAAACAACAAGAAATTCAAAAACTGTAAAGTCTCTCTGGGATGCGGCGGTGGAGAAAGTAGCGAAAATCACTTTCCCAGAATAACATAAATTATTAAATAAACGATTGGAATTTATCTCAAAATGCAGACAGCAAAACAAATTTTAAATATGTTACTTAAAAACTAAAAACGGATGATTTGGTAAATAGCATTATGTAAAATACAAATATATGCCAAAATATAAAACGACGATAATGAAGCATACTTTACACAAAGCCAAACAAATCGGATGACCAACGCCCGCAAAATAATGAAAATATACAACAAATTTAAATAAATAAATTATTAAATAATAATCAATTTAACAAACATTGAATGCACGCATAAACACAAGTAAGTGGAATAATAATAAACAACAACAAATAATTAATTAATCAATAATAAATAAAGAGTAAAAGTTAGCAAAAATAATCAAATAAGTATGAATAACTGCATAAATAATCAAAACAGAGTGTTGATGTTCGGTATTGACTTTAGTTGCCACTTTTATATTTACATATGCTTTCCGTCTGATAGTGAACACTTGAATAACTATATTTTTTCATATATATCTAATATATTTATGTATAAAATTAATATATCTTACTTATTATAAAACGCAGATTTTGTGTGTGTGTGTGTGTCTGTAACGTTTATATATTGGATCGGATTTCCTACATTTTTCAACCGATTTCAACAAAACTTCACAGGACTACATAAAATTACTTTGTGGTGGTTCTAACAGCGCCAAAAATGGGAAAAAATATAATTCTTTTTGCACAAAATCAATTTGAAAACCCGATTAAGAGACATCGTGAAAATGGAAGTGGGACAGCTCACATCGGGTTGTTTGTGTGTGTGGGTTCCTTTAAATATGGGAGCGGATTTCCTATATTTTTCAGCCGATAAAACAAAACTTCATTTTTTTTTTTTTTTGGCAGGTAGTGTTTCTTATTGTCTTGCACACTTTTTTTCTTTATTTTTACATTCAGAATGCTTTAAAAAATCCATTTACAAGACAATTGTTTATAATAAAATTCTATTCAATCGGTAGAGACTCATAACGATTGAAAACAATGTTTTTGTTTGAGTTTGGGTTTGACCAATTCGTAAAAAACAAAAAAAAAAAACTAATTAAGACATGCGTGTCCGTCAACCTTAAACAATAATCTTATTTTATTTTTCAGTTTTTATGATGGTGGATACTTGATCTATCTCTTACTGTTATATCCCCGGGCAACGCCGGGCTCTACTGCTAGTATATATATATATATGTTTTGAACAATAAAATTATTCAAAAATAAAATTATTCAAAAATATAAATTTTTAATATATATATATATATATATATATATATATATATATGTCATATATAAAATATATATATATATATATATATATATATATATATATATATATATATATATATATATATGTATGTATATATATATATATATATATATATATATATATATATATATATTTGGTATATCGGGTCCGTACCGATCATTCAGAGTCTGTCTATATTTCTGAGATGAGGCATTATGTATAGTATTTACATTAGTCGGACTATTGTTCTCATCTTTTCGCCATATTTGTCACAACGTTTCGTCCGTTGTACGCTCCGGCCTTCTTCAGGTGGTTGGAATTTTGAACTGAACCCTTTATTTCGATCACTGGTGCAAACTGTTCTAGTTCCACGTGCCATGTTTGATGGATGTCAGTTATAAGTTATCGCCTGCTAATTTTCCCTCTGAAAGTTCTCCACTGCCTTATCCGGGTATTGAACTCACACACTTTGGGTCTGTCACTGGATCTAACCAACGCCAATGCGGGGAGACCATTCGTGGTTATTAATGTGTCGTTTTCGGGCAACTGCTACAGAACGTTGTTCCAGAGTGTAGCGGCTGTCGGCTATATCACTTTGAATCATCGGTTCTTGTACGATCACTGAAGTTAAGCAACGCCGTGGCTGACCAGTACCTAGATGGCTGACCGCTTTGGAATAGCAGCTGTTTTAAGTTTGGAGGTGCTGATGGTGTAAAATATAATGGCTCGGATTTTGAACTTGGAGAGCCGATTTCGAATTTCAGTTGGCTTCGTTCTCTCCACTCACGCGGAAATAAACTTGGGGAAGCTATGTTTCCACCTCTTTATATTAATTAGCAGGACTTGGTTTATTATAATCATCTACGAAAATTTCATGAATTCTCAAGATATTTTCTGGCTTTAAATAACCGGCAATAATTTGATAAGCCTTAATTTACAAATTAATTAAATCAAAAATCATGATTATAGCAAGATTCGTCTCCGGCTGCGCTGTTTGAACTCTCTGCCTTCGGGCGGAGAAGAACTCAGACTAGGCTATGCTGAAGGGCAGAGTCTCCTCTGGGGTGGTGGACAGCTAATCTGCGGTGAAATTTTGCCCGAGTCTACGGGTTTAGTTTCGCCCTGCCTTATAAAATGCCCTTGTGCCACATCCTGCCTCGCGCGGAGGTAATGTAAATAACCTTGATTATAGCAAGATCAAAGTATGAAATCATCGTGGTTTTTAACGCTATTTTTTATTATATTCAGAACAAGATTCTCTAGAATCTCTATCTATAAAAGGCAGGATGTGTGTGTGTGTGTGTGTGTGTGTGTGTGTGTGTGTGTGTGTGTGTGTGTGTGTGTGTATCGGCCGCAATTTTCGACGGATTTGCACCAAAATTTACATGCACATGCTCCAAGTTAACGGGATGGCTAGCATGCAAAAAAAAATCGATAGCTGTAATCGTCACAAGTGGGAAAAATTTAAATCTGCATGGCACTTTACTCCAATTGGCTCATTCGCTTGCTTAAACTCAACGTTAATTCTGATTCCGCAGAACTAGGTTGGGTGTGAAAAAGTATTTGTTGTTAACATTCTTTTTTCATTCGGTTTTTCCAGTTCCGAGTCCTTTTTTAAAGCTGATCGCTTTGTGTTCATTTTGTGTTCATTTTGTTTAGTTCTTTTTTCGTAACAGATTTAATGTTTAGTATAGAGCTTAGTCAAAATTCGCAGTGTGAGATAGGCAAGAAGTAAGGCATGTAACAACATCAGTACGGAAAGGGGCACTCCCTTAAAGGTAAGGAAGGACAAAGTCAAGTGATAGCGATTGCTGTATGAGTCGTACGATTTTTGAATCAAGCACGGGCAACGCCGGGCCATGCTGCTAGTTCTCCATATTTCCTCTCTTTTTTTAACTAAAAAGCTAAAGTTGGTTTCCTCCCAGGTCATCCTTTGCCGCACATATCTATCTATTTTCCAAGTAGTTTACCTGGTGTTTCTTCACAATTTCCAGAACGTGTAGGAAATAATGGCTGAATTGAATCACATTTTGTATCTGCTTGGCTGAGTAAAGTCAATATCAACGACGATGAGACTAATCTCTAATAGAATTTGGGACCCATACCAAGTTTATCTGGATTGCAACTGAAATACTTTGTTATTACAGCAGCTAACTATCAATACAATTTTCGTTGACGACATTCTAGAATAAGGCACAAACTATTTGAATGAATCTCATTAAAATAATAGAAAAGTTAATTACACAGCGAAATATTTGCGATACTGATTAAATTAACAAGAATAAGGTTTGATATCGCCTTAAGCATGTCGGCATAGTTTAAATAATACCGCAGCATTTCGAAATACATTCTGAAGTGGGCGCCATCTTGTTAGCACACAAAGGTGCTAGTTATCTCCTCAGCAGCCAACTAAGTTTGCAGGAATTGCTTCAGCATGTCAAATTAAATCAGCTGAATACCTCTCGATTCGGCAAAGAAAGTCTACAAATCTTAGATTCTGTCAAAGCATCCCAGATGTTAATCTCAGGCGAGTCTCTTTCCATTATTAGACAAAGACATTTGGACATCTATCTGCCATAATACGAGAACTATGGAGATTTATGTTCCCCAAATTGGCAGGACTTGTACGAAATGCTTCCGGGTGTGTTTCCAAATGTTAGAGAATAATTTCATCTCTGTCAATATAATGAATGTTTTGATGTCGAATACTAACCTTGATAATCCTGTTGATGGTTAGGTTTCAATTTCACTTTAGATCACAAGGAGAGTTCAGGTGTATCGGGTTGGAACGAAAGTTCTGTCCGATTTTAAGGTGAAAACAAGTGTAATGTCAATCGATATCTGACACCTTGATCATGTTCCCCGTCCTTCTCTGGATACTTTCTTCAAATACACCTCGTTACTCTTGTTCTCAATCCTCTGTAACCCCTTGGTTGATAGTGGCACTCATTCCTGTTCGATTTTTAAGGTGAAAACAAGTGTAATGCCAAATGACACCTTGATCTTGTTTCCCGTCCTTCTCTGTAGCCTTTCCTCAAATACACCTCTTTACTTTTGTTCTCAATCCTCTGTAACCCCTTGCGTGCTAGTGGCACTGCCTCGTTTTCGATTTTTAAGGTGAAAACATTGACAAAAGTTTATTAAAGTATTGCCTCATAATGCTGTTTAATGATGCTGTTATGGGTAATTTATATATTTTTCTTTCAAATCATAAGTTTATTAATATATATAATTCGTAACTTACCCGTATGTTCGTCTTAACTAAAGACCACATTAGAAATGTTTTACGCTTTGAATTTCTTAAAGATTTCAACGCAATCTGTACTCTAAACACCATCTTGCACGCTTGTAGGCTCGATGCATTGTTTGAAAGATATTACAGGAGTTATTTTACTAGTTTCAAAACTGAGAATTTTAGTCTATATGACAACAAAGGGAGGTACGTCTGAAAGCCTCGATACATAGGATTTGGAAACTGCTGTTACAACAAATCTTACGCGAATGGAAAAGGATTGCAAATGCTTCAGAAACTGGAAAATATGTCCCACGCGCTCTGTCTCCAAAAATATCGATTATTCCGCGTCATACCTTACGCGACAACTTCAAGTGCCCCTTTTAGGACAGGTTTGTAACTGATGATGAGAATCTGCCTATATTTCTGAGATGAGGTATTATGTACACTATTTATATTATTCGGACTTTTGTCCTCATCTTTGTCGTAAAAAAATTCGTAAACTTAAGGAATCAGCACATATGCTAGGCCACAAAAATCTCCTGGACACATGACACAGCGGATAAAGGCTTTAGTTAGATCCAGAGACAAGAACCAAAAAGTGTGAGTTCAATACCCGGTTAAGGGAGTGGAGAACTTGGAGAGGGGGAATTAACAGGAGATGACTGATAACTGACATCTAGAACTAGAACAGTCTACTCCAGTGAGCGAAATAAAGGGTTCAGTTCGACATTCCAACCACCTGAAGAAGGCCAGAGCGTACAACGGCCGAAACGTTGTAATAAAAATGGAGACAAAGATGAGGACAATATTTCGAATAATGTAAATAGTGTGGTGATGAGAAAATCAATCATTTCATATAAAGTTAAGCGCTGTCGTCAGTGGGTCAGTCAAGGAAACAGACCTGCTCGACAATCAAGATGAGAACTTCGCCCAAAGAAGATCATTTTTAGTTTATGGTGGGATATTCAAGGAATCATTCATTATGGACTATTTGGTAATAATCAAACGATCAACGCTGATCTCTAATGCCAACAGCGTCGTCGTTTGGAATCAGATTTGAAAAGAAAACATTAATCCTTAGTTAACAGAAAAATAATTATCCTTCATCTCAATAATGATGATTGACTAAAGATCTCGAAGAGAAGTTCGGTTTTGATATAAAACTGCTTCACCCTTTATTTTCTACAGACCTTACGCCTGACTATCACGTGTTTAACGGTTTGCAGAAATATTTAGATGACCTAAATTTGACATCAAGAGAAGAGCTTGGAAATGCGCTAGTATTGTATTTTACATCAAAACCTAAAGAATTGTACAAACGTAGCATCTATAAACTCGTTGACAGATGGAATGAGAGACGTGGCGTGGCTTTCCTCTGTCTCTTCTACAAGTATTTTCACGACAATTGTTCCGGACTCCATGAATTTAAGCGAGCTACTAGGCTGGCATCTTGATCCCACACTTTCACTGTCAAAACGGTTAAATGTAACTGCCTCTTCTACTCCAACAGCTTCTTCTCTCGTACTTCCCGTTTGTGGAACTCCTTTTCCTGGTAACTAAAATCTTCAAATATTCAAGTGTAATGTCAATCGACATCTGAAATCTTGAAGGTCATTCTGTATTGGGAACTGGCCACCGGGAAGACAGCACAAAGGCAACCTCCTCTTCGCTTCAAGGGCATCTTCAGAAGTGACAAGAGGACGATGGACATCGAGAGGTGGGAAAACATCGCCAACGATCGTACGAGCGCTGGGGCGATGAGAGGAAAAAAGAGGTTTGCCACTGGGGAGAAGCGTGCTCAAAGGAAAGAAAACAACACAGCGATTGGTTGCAATCGAGACTGTCACTCCCATGAGGGCCTGTACAGCCATAACAGAGAATGTGCCACCATCAACAGCTGATGCTTAACTTTATGGACGGAGATCCATCATCTCTCGAAACCGCCCGGCGACACAGACATTTCATAAGCATTAGTATCTTCATTTTAAATATCTATATCTATAAAATAGAAGATGTCTGTGTGTGTGTGTATGTTATTTATGTACATCCACATTTCTTGACCGATTTTGATGAAATTCTAGACACATACTACAACTTTACTAATATAAGTGACGACTAAGTTTTCAATCTCCAGTTTGGCAGGAGAATCGATAAAACTGAAGTTGGGGACGACTTTTTGCAAAGTTACACGCGAGCAAAATTTTTACTGGATGACTGATGCACAGCATAGGTCATGATAAAAAGTTTATGTAGAGTGCTTGATAGTTTTCCTGCGATTTTGGCTACACATAAAAAATTGCAAAAAAACTGTGAAAAAATCGTTTTTTTTTCCTATTACATAAAATAAAAAACTTGAATAACTTCCTCATTTTTTATCCGATTTTCTTCAACCATTATGCAAAGAATTTACCTTCTGCAAGCTATAAGATAAGGTGTCATGCTCGCTTCCCCGCGTATAACGAAAAATCACAAAAAACATGTCCAAAAAGCTCGTTTTTCGGCCATATCTCCCTTGTTTTTGATCCGATGCTTTCCAAGTTTGCCATGTAAATTACACAACACATAAATTGTCATGATTGAATGTTTCGTTTAGATTATTTCAGTTAAGTGGACCAAATCTGCAGCAAACTAAGTATAAAATCGGCTTTCGCTATTTAGCCAATAGTTTCTTCATAAGATTCCATCCTAAATTGGCATCCAAATAACCACTGAGGCAAAGATTGTTTTAAAAAGATTATTGAAACGTTAAAAATGAAAAAATTACCGATGAAGCTCTTATTAACACGAGCTTTATAGAAAACGTGCGAAGAAGGTGGTGGTGGGGTCTTTCGTGCGATTGCACTTGCAGCTGAATCAAGCTCTGACGTTTCATCCATGTTTTTGTTTAATTATTAGATTTAGGAACCATGCCATATTATTGAAAGTTATTATCGCCATTGAAAATTTACTGAATATCTAAAACATTGAAATAATTTAATCCCGAGCAAGGGCCATACAAGAAGGTTTTTCGATAGAATTCTTTATTAAGAACAATCAAAAACTGCGAAGGACATACTGTAAAAAAAGATGAGATGAAATTAGGTTAGTATGAAAACCGATGATGGATGCAAGCGGGGACGCAGACAGAAATTTCTAGACAGGGGGAACGTATACAGGGGGTTTGCCCATGTGCAATTGCAGGTAATGCAGAGTACCTATTATATTTATAGACGAGAAATTCGTTTCAAAAAAATACAGTCCAGGTCTTAAATATGCAGTAAAAATTTTCGATTCCTTTATCGCTCCAGAAATATATGACTCCATTTGCGATGTCCTGTCTTTACAAGAGTAAAATTAAAAAAAAAATGGAGTATCATTGACTTATCTGGGCTGGCATTACACAATCCCTGATTTTAGCCTTGGAGTGTTCAAAACAACAGTTCAGTGGAAGATATGTATTGAAATACTGCAGTTTATTTCCCCATTTAAATAATATCATAACCAATATCTTCATGTTGTTCAGATGAGTTACATTATTTAGATCAACTAATTAAAATTATATACAATTAGGAAACGCTTTTTGTTTGTTTTTTTTTGCTTTCACGCAGTTGAAAGCAAAATTTCCTCCAAAGTTAAGAAGAAAGTTATAATAAGCATCTTCGTATAATAAATAAATAATTGAATTTAATAAATAAATGGATACTTATCTTGAAAACTAATTTATTTCTCGTTATTCACTCTAAATTTTCCTTATAAATTCAAACATCCTTTTCTCATTCACATCTCATATTCGTTTATCATAAGATTGTTAGTCGGTGAGCCTCTATCTTGAGTGACTCTTTGAGTCTTGTATTGGGTGTAATCTTACATTAAAATATTTTACATAATTTTTCATTTAATTTTTCAATTTTTTGATAATTTGAATGTGTTTCATGAAAAGATCGGGACTTTATGGACATCCTTTCACTCACACAATAATCTACCACTGGTTCTGACAGACGTCCTCATACCTATGCCACTAAACATAAAAAACAATAGTCTACAAACATAATCTTGAATTTTTCCGGTTCATCATCCCCGAAACAAAGCCGAAGAACTTTTTAAAAACCTTTTTAAATTTTTATCCGGTCAGAAAAATCTATCACGTTTAGTTTAATTGTTTATTATGTTTTTTTTCTATTGATCCCCCAAATTTATGGCCGCCTCCCAAGGATCTAATACTGTTTCGATTGCTTAAAAAAATCAGTTCAGGTTCAACGATAAAGCAGGGAACTACGTTCCCGTTTTCACTTTTCAGTTTATATTTTTTTACCTAGTAAAAGGCGGAATGGTTTAACAATTCTCTGAAAATCATTTTTATTTATTTCAAAAAAATATGAAATCATTGGAAGAGTCAATCATTTGAATTAAGAAACTTGCAGAAATATTTTAATTTTTACGAAAAATATTAAAGAACCTTTATCAAACATAGTTTTTTTTCCAAATAATCATTAAATTCTTTTTAAACTAAGTAAAAAAATTGGGATTCTATTTTTAAGTAGAAAGTGGAAAAAAATTTAGTCGTTTGATCAACTCTACCGCACTTTTTTTTTCTTTTCAATTATGTATTTTTAACGACATCGCCAAATTCGCAATATAATTCTTAATCTTAATCTTAATCTTGTGGTAAAGCTGAGTTGAATAGATTTTTTTAAAGGTAAATTTAAGAATATCATCCACAGCATAATTAAAAAAAATCAACGGAAAATTTTTAAAATAAATAAATGCTTGAGCAAGATGAATTAATTCAGTTTCAGTATGATTGAAGAATCGTAGCAAATTTAGAGTGTCTTCAAAAATCAAGGTACAAAATTAAAAATAAAATGAGACTAAAAAAATAAAATGATGAAAGAAAATCACTGAATATTTTCTGAAAAAAATCAAACCTCTTTAAAAATATCCACAAATTTGAAACCGAGGAATTTTCTAAGTCCAATATTTGGTAAATCGAATGTAAAAATATCATCTCTTTGTTGGAAAGTAAAATAACGTTTCTTTTCATTCTTACTGCACATTTTTACAAAAGATATGAATCTTTTTCATTTAAAAATGATTCAGATGATTCTTGGTAAAACAAAGTTACAAAATGATTTTGGTAAAATTGTATAAAGAAAAAATATTTGTCGACAAATGGAAATAAAATACTCTGAAATGATGCAGCTAAAAACCTACATACGCATATACAGAAACAGACACTTACACAAATGAAATCTCTACTAAATGTATGTGGTTTACAGACACAAACTTAGAATTTAAGCGAAATGCACATACAAAAAAAGGTATTGAAAATTTAACCTGAGTAAATTTTTAAAAAAAATGCATAAGTTATCACACGTGGGTGCATGTGTTATAGGTACACACACAATAATACACTTGACTTGCTTGCATGTGTCTATGTCGTACACGGACATGTACACATACTCAAGTTAAAATACATAATGGATTTCATACACATAAATGATTACAGTGCATAGTGTACAACAAATTTAGTATGAAATTAGGAGCAACAAAGACAATGGACAATCGTGTGTGTCTGTGTGTGTGTGTCTGTGTGTGTGTGTCTGTGTGTGTGTGTCTGTGTGTGTGTGTCTGTGTGTGTGTTGAGTTGGGGGTATATGCATATGTGTGCAACTGATTTGTATATATATATTTCTAGCACAAATGCATCAAAATTGCAAATTTGTATTTTGCATGATGAATTCTCAGGCAGATTTGTTGGTATGATTATCTGATGTCCAGTATCTAGCAATCTGTCTATCTCAGTCTACTGATATCTATCTATCTATCTATCTATCTATCTATCTATCTATCTATCTATCTATCTATCTAACTATCTATCTCAGTCAATTCATATCTAAGTCAGTTCATATATCTATCTACCTATGTCAGTTAATATCTATCTCTTTATCACAGTTCATATCTATCTCAGTTCATATCAATCTATCTATTCATATATATCTAAGTCAGTTCATCTACCAATCTCAGTTCATATATATAAATCTTAACTATCCGCAGCCTGTTTGATCTATCAATCTATCTCAACCTGTTTATGTCTATCTATCTATCCATGTCTGTTCTATCGATCTATCTATATCTGTTCATTATCTATCTATCTCAATCCATTTATTATAAATCTATTTATTGAATAAGTCTCTTCAATATCTATTTATCTAAGTTCGTTTATCATTTATCTAGTTATCAATCTCACTATCTATATATCTCTCTATTTCTCTATCTATATCAATGATTCCCAACATGGGGCACATGCCTCACCAGTGGGACATAGTAATATGTTGGTGGGGCATGTGTAGGATGTGCACCCTTTAGTTTACTATACCAACAGAATAAGGGGGCAATTCGAGAATGAGTTATTAACAGTGAATTGTTTTCTAGTGAGAGTTTTAATGTTAAGGCGTGTTATGATACATATGATGCATATACAGTATGCATACATAAAAATATTTTGTATGTATGTACATACATGTGTAAGTGACATTCATGTAATAATTAAATATTACAGGGGGCACCAGAATTTTAGAAATACCAAAGTAGGGCATGGCCCAAAATTAGTTAAGAACCACTAATCTATATTCATCTAAGTCTACTCATTATCTACCTATCTATCAATTCTGTTTATTATCTATGTTTGTTTATTTTCTATCTATGTATCTATCTATCTATGTCTATCATATCGAAGTCAGTCCATATCTATCTACCAATCTCAGTTCATATTGAGCTATCTAAATCTGTTTAATATCTATCACAATCTGTTTATTATCTGTCACTCTGTTCATTATCTGTCTATCTATTTCTGTCCCTTATCTATGTATCTATCTCAGTCAGCTCATTAATTATCCATCTCTATTCATTTTCGATCTAGCTAAGTTTCTTTCTATCTATCTATCTTAGTTCATATCTCCCTCAGTCTATTCATATCTAAGTCATAGCTACTTATCAACCAATCTCAGTTCATATATATCTTATCTATCTCAGTATGTTCATTATGAATCTATTTATCAATCTATATTTATAAGACTATTCATTATCTATTTATCTATCTCAGTCTGTTCATTACCTATCTATATATATCTTAGTCATTATCTATCTCAGTCTGATAATTATCAATCTAAGTCAGTTTGTATCTATCTCAGTGCATTCATATCTATTTACATGAGCCAATTCATATCTACATTTATCTACCAATCTCAGTTCATATCTATTTATCTACTTATCTCAGTTCATTATATATATATATATATATATATATATATATATATATATATATATATATAAATATAGTTTTAGGTGTGCTATATTTATGGGATAAAGGCTCAATATCAGAGATAGAGCATTATGTAAATATAAATAAAAGTGAACATTGAAGTCAGCACTCAGAGGTGATAGGCTGTTTCATGCTAGTGCAATCGTCAGGCCATGAATTCACAGCCTGACAACAGCCTAGAATGAAACAGCCTGTCACCCTCTTGAATGTTGACTTCAATGTTCACTTTTATATATATATATATATATATATATATATATATATATATATATATATATATACATATATATATATATATATATATATATAATGCATGTTTCATTAAATAATATAGACAAGTTTTGTCTATTTATTTTAAGTAAGTTCCTTTTCATATTGTCTGATGTTTAATAGCATTATCATTGAAAGACAAAATAAATATTCTTAAATGCCTATAATTGATAACAGAAGCCCTGGTTTTATACCAGCAGCTTCCCATACTTAATACATCTCATTTTCACTCTTGCATGTTCATGTGTGACATCACCAAGTTGTGACAGATTTTCACTTCCATGTCTTGTATACAATGGTTAGTCATTGCTTTGAAATATTTCATGCAACAAAAACAGACTATCATTATTATTTCGTCCGTGTATTGGTTGATATATTGAAAAGTAATTGTCATCGAAAAGGTTAGATTGGATTTAAACATGTATCAATATGGTGATTTCCTTTCGTCTTTCAATGATACTGTTATTAAGCTCATCAGAAAATATGAAAGAAACTTTACTTAAAATACATAGACAAAACTTATCTATATTAGTTAATAGGCATGCATCAATGAAAAATTTCTCTCTCCTCTCCTCTCTCTCACTCTCTCTCTCTCTCTCTCACTCTCTCTCTCTCTCTCTCTCTCTATATATATATATATATATGTATATAGTACAACTCCGCTAATCGAACATCCAAAATGTTCGGTATTGAGAATTTCAACTATATTCGAGGAAGAAAAGCTGTTGTGGCAAGTTTAAATTTTATTAAGTTTTTAGAGTTTAGGATACAAAAGGTAGTTTGTAATGTTCATACATTTTTTTATTTAAGTGTAAAAATGTGTTGACTACATAAATGTACAATAAATCATTGACAACCACTAGTAAACATTTGTGCTAAACAAAATTCTAACGCAAAAAAAAAAAAAATTAAAAAATTAAGACCGTTTATGAAGTGCTTAAGATTTATGAAGTTATAAAATTTATCATTCGTCATTGTCAGATCTTCCTAAGTTTGCCGCGTTCGCCATTTTACGTAAATGGCAGTTGTTTCTATGGCGCTTTTTGACGCATTACGACATTCTTTCAATTTACAATGAATTTATAACGAATACAAATCTCAGAATTGAATATAGTCAAATTTTGCTGTGAGGGTGGATTCATTATAGAATCTAGATTTATTATGTTTAGATTTCAGAGTCTACTGTATCTAGTTTAAAATTTTTCTATTTTTTTATACTATAAAAATTATAAATTTGGGCACATAGGTAATCTGGACATAGAATCAACACAACAGTGAGCTATCAGGTTTCACGCGTCAAATGTCCATGAATCTTTAGCAATTCTGCGGGATTTCTTTGCAGCGTGAATCTGACCATCGCCATCTTCAATGTCTTGATTCCTATGTTCAAATTGTCTATTTCTATTTCTTCTTCTATCTCTTTATTTAAAACGGGTTCCGTTACAATCTACCGAAGTTAAGCAAGTCAGTCACCTAGATAGGTGACTACTTGGGAATACAGGCCATAGCTTGGATGTGCAGGTGGTGTAATAAATAATTCATTAGGATTTAATTGTCAAGCCCAGTTTCAATTCTCGTTGGTTCCGTTATATTTACTTACGCGCATATACCCTTGGGAAAGGTAAGAAATTCTGCACTTCTCCTCCACCTTCATCTATGGGTTCATTAGTAAGACTTATGTCTTCGTCATTGTTATTTCGGCAGAAACTTATTAGATTCTAAAGTATTTCAGGTTTTGAAAATAACCCTGATTGATAAAGCCATGAAACAGAATCGGTTCATCAAACCAAACTATTTATCTCTATACTCTAAACTCTATCATTCCTTTGACTGAACCAAATCTGATAATATTTACCTCTGTCTATCCTATATTGAGCATTTTACCTGTATATATATATATATATATATATGTATATATATATATATATATATATATATATATATATATATATATATATATAGTATAACTTATAACACTATATAATATACATATATATATATAAAATTACATCTAAACCTTTGCTTGAAAATGGTATACATGATTAAATAATGCCCCATACTTAACAAAAACAATGTTTTTATTGACAAAGTTCTGTTATTAGTAAAAAGTAATCTGTCTATATTTCTGAGATGAGGTATTATGCTTTTTCTTGCATTATTCGGACTATTGTCCCACATTTTTGTCATACATATTTATCACAAGGTTTCGGCCATTCTTACGCTCAGCCCGTCTTGGAGTGGTTGGAATGTCCAGACTAGACACTTTATTTCGCTCATCTTTGTCGCCATATTTATCACAACGTTTTCGGCCGTGATGGTACGCTCCGGCCTTCTTCAGGTGTTTGGAATGTCCAGACTGAACCTTTTATTTCGCTCACTGGGGTGGGCTTTTCTAGTTCCGTGCCATGTTGTGGGTGATTGTCATTTATCTCCTGATAATTTCTCTCAAGTTCTCCACTGCCTTCTTGTTACTTAGTGTTTCCTCAGTTATTTACGATTGCTAGAGCAGTTGAAAAATTATATAAAAAATACACTTGTTATATTCATCAATTAATTTTTACGTGCGCCCCCGTGAAAAAAAAAAAAGAAATTTCAAACAGAAGCGTTTATCGAGACAGTTGTCAACACCTCGTAAAACCTCAACCTTCTTCAGAAAAGGTAGATATAGAAGTGCAGTTTATTTCACGGTAAAACAGTAGACATTGGATCATGTTACATGTGTCAAAAAGCTCTTACATAAAATATGGAACAGGTTTGTTTTTACTTTAAAGCCAAATAGTAGGTAGATGCATCGGGTTCTACCAGAACTTTCAAGTCTTCACACGCTTAAAACCAGGAAGATTATTTGGTACTAATTGTGATAACATGGTAGGGCTTCCATAATTCTTAAGTTTCGTTAGCCGTGAAACTGACTGTCGCCCGCTGTCTGATTCCTCTATTCAAATTATCTCCTTCTCTCTCTTTTCCTTCTGTCTTTGTTTAGGTGTCACGTTGAAACCTTTAGAATTGAATATTAAAATTCCTCGTTTGAGACAGTGTGTATGTATGGAGAGGGAATATACATATATACACGCATGTTGACAAAAACACACGAAAAATGGATATAGATCTAAGAACAAACAGGGTCATTAAAAGATAAGAATAGCGATAGTTCCTTCCTATAAGCTATAGGGATCTAAGTACATGAAAATATGGAATATACAAGTGGCCTATCGACGAGCTAACGGTGGAACATTAACTTTTCAAGAAGTCATTTACATTATGAAATATTTCTAACGAATTCCAGTCGTATTCATTATAAATCCTCTTGGAAAAGGTAGCAGATCCATCTCTTATTCCCCAGCTATATCATCAGTCTGTTGCAGAAAAGTGGCAACTACCATCATCAATCAAGAAAAGACATGGTCGCCCATTTATTGTATCGCTTATGGGACTGAATTATTCTTAATTAAAATATTTCTATTTAATTTTTATTTACACAGGACTACACACAAAATTTCTGAAATGCAATTAGCTGCACTAAACTTTGAACAGAAACATTTGTGGAAGTTAATTTAAAACCTGCTCAAATTCTGTCCGGGTTTAATATCGAA